AGCCTCTGAGTTACCTGGAAGTTAACCCTATCTACACATCTCCAATAAGCGAAATATTTTAAATAATTTGATAATAGAGATGATTAAATAATTTTAATAATTTTGAATTCTTGACATACTATGATTTATGATTTGTATCTATTCTTTTTCCCCACAGAACTCTTCAAATTAAAATTCCAGAAAGGTCTTTAGTTAGTTTAGAATGCATTCATTGATAACTTCACTTTACTTTGGACATGGTTTTGACAGTGAATGATTTTATCCAGGTTGTTTCAACTCTGTATGATCAAGTACAAGATAATAAAAACAAGGACAAATAGGCTGAAAAACAGCTTCTATCCCAGAGCAGTAACTGTCAAATTCTACTGAGTAGTATATTAATGCAATATCAGGGGTTTTTAATTCAATTGTGTAGAATGTGAAGGATGTGTTTTTGTTTTATTTTTTATAGTTTTCTTATGTATGATGTACACTGAAGATGGAATTTAATGTACAATTTAATGTTTAATTGTACAAGGTGCAATGACAATAAGGTAAACTTAATTTACAGAATGTGCTATATACTGTATTTTTCGGAGTATAAGATGCACCGGAGTATAAGACGCACCTACTTTTTTTGGTGAGGAAAAGAAGAAAAAGAAATCTCCCTCTGCCTCTGAGCAATTTTGCCTCTTTGCAGCAAACAGCAGCCTGCTTTACTTTCGTTTTCAGTATAGCTTGATTAGCACAAGGAAAAAAAAATCTGCTCCAGCAATTTACCTCTTTGCAACAAGCAGCAGAGCCCTGTGCAAAACAGCTGAGAGCAAATCAGCTGAGTCAGGAGGCTGATCCAATCAACTTGTGCTAATTAGGCTGTGCTGAAGCTGAAAGGAGCTGTTTTTTCTTGCTGTTTGCTTGCAAGGAGGTAACTGCTGTGAGGCAGAGGCCAAAGGGTGGGGGCCAGTGGGTGGGTGGGGCTATATTCAGTGTATAAGATGCACCTAAATTTTCACCCCCCTAAAAGGGGGGTGAAAAATACGGTATATAGCTTTGTGCTGTATATTATTGAATTTGATTGTGTAGGTAGTCTTTGACTTACAATAATTGGGATTGGATTTCCAGTAGTAAATTGTTATGGTAATAAGCTGGGGCAACCATGTGACTTGATCCTGTTCTACAATATTTGTTTATGGTGGTCATTAAGAGAACACTGCAAATCATAAGTGTAAACCCATTGATTGAAATGGGCAGTTTTTTCCAAAACTGGTAAAAATGTCATAAATCATGCTCGCATGATCATAGAATGCTGCAATTAGTTGTAAAGGAGAGCAGTTGCCAAGAAGGCCTAGAAGGCAGTCATATGACTGTGAAAGAGCACATTTTACAACAGCCAGAAGTGCTTTATGGGTGGGAAATCACTCGTTCTGGGCCCATCGTAATTTTGAACAGTTGTTAAGTGACTGGTCATAAGTTGAGGACTACCTGTATTTCTGTATTTTATGTTCATTCCTGTTTGTAATCTAAAGAAGATGAAGCTATAAATATACCACTAACCAAACCCATCCTTTCCAGGAAAGTATGTATCAAAGAATTCACAACTCTCAAAACTGAATTGAGTGAAGAGCCAACAAGCAGCTAATGCAGATAACATTTAGCTATGTTTTTTTTTCTATTATGTTTCTACAAAATTCTAATTAAAATGGATGATGGCAAAGATAAGGTAGTGGTATGCAAAACATCTGGATTTACAGTATAAAACAGTCTATTTGAGCTTAAAACATCTGTTTTGAACTCAAAGCAGTGTGTTTCAAATTCAGGATGGTCTGAGCTGCAATATTTTGCACCTACCTAGTAAGAGGAGTTAGACATTATCTGACTTCCAAAATGTCAGAATTCACTGTGTATTTTCAAATTCTTTGGTGAAGGCCCTTTTTTCAACTTCTTTTGCCCTCTGAAATAATAACACTAAGACTTCTCAGAATGTCCAAGACGCATGGGTGATGAAAGTCACTTCTATGTGACTCAGACCTAAGCACCAATTGACAATTAGAACAACAGGACAAACTGCCTTGTCTTGCTTGTTCTAAATAGTCTTTAGGAAATCCCAGGAAGCAACAACTGTGCAAAAATTGTTTTATTAGTTCTCATTCTGCATATTAAAAAAAACTAGCCCCAAATTTGCACAGAAAACATGCTTTTTGGAGCAATTCACTTCTTTTTGCCATAGATACTATCCAACGCACTCTGTGCGTCTGTTATTTGTTGCTGCAGTCTCTGCTTAGTAGACTCATTAGAAGCCTTTTTCAGCAGCGTCTTCATTTCTTCCACCACAGCCCTATACCCAGTTGTGTTGTGGAAGACACGGATGGCTCGGTCCCCACAGGAAATCAGGAAGCGACTGTTCACGTCAAAGGCTAAGTCTGTTATGTGCTCTCCATGAGCACCTTCAAAGTACTCTTCCTCCTCTCCTCGCTGGGTGTTATAAACAAAGATGCTGGTGCTGCTGGAAATGGCCACTGCCCGTGCATCAGGAGCCAGAGCAATGCGGCAGGGCTCTGTTACCTTGCAACTGCCTGTCAGCAATAGGTAAGGATCCTGTTGCTTTTTATACTCAACATCTGTGTCCCAGAACTTCCAAGTGCCATCCTTTGAAACTGTTGCCATCCTGTTAGGGTGAGAGAATGGCACGTATTATTTAGCAATTTCAAGTTAATACTGTAGTTAGATGAATGTATTGGCTTCGGTCTATAGTAGGGTCTATCAGCTTCTTGTTGCTTATGCTTCCTTTCTTCGGTTCTAATGTCTAGAAGCTAACCACAGAGCTCCCCATGATTATATAATTCATATCATAAATTTGGAAAGTGGTTATGCATATAGACATACTCAGTATGTATGATATAGATGCCTTCAAGAGATCTGATAAAACTCAAATATCCCTCAGGAATATTTTAAGATTTCAGATGGCCTGTTGGTGCCAGAATGTATCTCTTTAGTTTCCTGAGGATTGATTTATATATAGCTACCTATCTCTTGTATGTGACTCTGAGCCATTACCAAGTTAAAAACATAAAACAAAATAACCCTAAACTTATAATAAACTCTATAAAAAGATTAAAAACTGTAAAAAAAAAGAAAAAACTGCAGGAGAGCCTACTCAATTGCCCTAGCAATATAGCCACATTTAGGAAACGCTAGGCTATAATTCCTACTAAATAAACCAACCGAGAACCTATTAACAAAGGACATTGCTGAACAATGGGCCATTTATTAATTGCATGTACTTAACACCATTAATTCATAATTTAATATATTTTCTGAGTCTACAGAATACATAAAATTGCAAATCAAATGGCTTGGATTGAAACAACATAAGCCCCCCCCACACACACACACACAAACCTCTAGCCCCAAATTAATCAAACTTAGCAAATTGTCTGAATCCATTTGGTAAATTCTGATTTGAGCTGGCTAAATATATTGTGGGAACATAGTGACTTAATCTTCAAAGGAAATCCCTCCATTGGTTTATAAAGAGGAAGGAAGCAACTCCAAAGGGCCTTCTCTTCCTCACACCAAGGATATCAGGAAAACTAGACAGAGGACTCAAAGGGAAGATGTGAACAAGTTATTATAAAAATGTTATTATTCCATAGAAATGAGAGATAGCTTCTCACCGCCGAGAGTCATTGGAAAAAGCGAAGGAATACACGCCAGCCTTATGCCCCTTCAGGTCAAAGGCTCTGATCACTTCCCGGAAATCTCCACTCTTGCTGAAACACACTTCCCACACCTTTACATCAGGAGTGAATCCACATGAACCAACAAACCTATAGGAAAGGAAATGCTAAAATGAATTGAACCACTTTGTGAGCGGTCACTTTTTTATTCTTCAATATTATTTAGAGCACAAAGAAGACATCTCTATTCTAACATAATAGAAGGAAACGTAAACAAGTGACTGCCCTTCCTTACCTCCCACATGGTGACACAGTTGCAAAAGTGTTGTTCATCTGGTTGGTGTTGATGCTAGCCAGAATTTCCCCCTTCATATCCCAGATCAGGATGGTGGTATCACTGGAGGCACTCATGATATACTTCCCTGTGGAATAAAGGGCAAAGGTAAGGCTACAATTCTGACAGGCTGATGCGGTTATATATATTATTCAGGAAACCAAGCAAATTAATTTGGTTTTAAGGAAATAAAGCTGAACCATTCTCTGTAGTTGTAAGCTAGGCTGTTCAAAAGATCAGCTTTCATACCTGTATCAGCAACCCCAATATTGATGATAGGAGCCTTGTGCTGCTTTGGAAATTCTTCTGGGATTGCGATGTATGTAAAAGTGCCATCCTCCTTCTTTGTCATTTTAAAAACTCTGAGGGTGTCTCCATATGCCAACCAAACAATGAAAGCTCTGAGTGAAGGAAAGAAAGGCATATAAACAACACAACGATCACAAGGAAGAAGCTGCTCTGCTTGGTAGTCATATAACATAAGCCCACCATGGTTTGTGAAGCGTGTGAAAATGCTTCCACGGTTGCAACTTCAGACTAGTTTCATTTCTTACAGCTGCTCTGGCTGCTTTTCTGCCAAAAGGAATCACAGCGACAAAATCTTCAGACTCTTTCACTACATTATGTGACTGAAACAACTCCTCAGCCTGTCCTTTTTGCAATGCTCTTCCTACGAAGTTTCCTACAAAAACTTTTTCAGTTTAGTTTTTATTATATTCTTTGTTTTTATTGTAATGCACTGCCTGTTTTCCTTCAGGATTAGGGCAGGTTACAGGTAAGCAGGTAATGCAAAGGTTATTATCCAAACCTCCATCCTACCTGGAGTCCGGGAAGAAGCGGACCAGGGTAGCATGGTCCAGTTCCACATTAACCCGCATGCAGCGATGCTCCCTCTCCAAAATGTCTTTGGTACTCCAGATACGCACTGTACGGTCATCAGAACAGGATGCCAAATACTTCCCATTATTGCTGAAGTCCAGGCACGTGACATTTCCACTGTGGCCCTGCAGAATAAAAATAAAATTATCCTTTGGCCTATTAATAAATCCAGGTGTCTTGTATACTGGATATCTATTATCTAAGGAGTGAAAAGCAGTTAAAAATTCTAAAAAAAGGATTTATTTGAAAATTGTAGATATAAGAAAGAAGAGTATAACTATCCAGTCAGGAAAACCTCATGACCTTTACACACCTTTTCCAATTTTACCACAAAAATTCCAAACTCAGAACAGGCTAATTCAACTCTGAAACAGTGGTCAAATTAAATAGTTTTTGAGTCAGGTATACTTAGTGAATTTGAAAGAAATCTTAGGGTGTTTTAATCTCAAAATTATTTGCTTTCTTCTGCTATCTATCTTTTAACAAAACTAGGTGAATTGCTATGGATCATCCAGTAAACAGCTGGATTCCCACTTATCTCCTTGGACAAGTAGATATAATGAAGTAAAGCAAAATGGTTGTAAGTTCATCAGTGAACAGGAAGATACAATGGTAAAGCTGTGGCAGGATCGACCTGCTTTTTGATATCACAAAGTTGTTTATTTCTGCGCAGTAACTCAGGATTTCAAAATGAAAACCAGATAAAGTAATTACTTTCAAAGCACACCCCATAGTGTGGGGTTTGGAGGAGGCAGGTCCTAGAAAATGAAAGTTATACAATATGAATCCAATCCTTTTTGAAAACAACCTGGTGAATTTTTCCAGAAATGTTTCTGTTACCACGGAATAGTAGTTATAAATTCTGACTTCCCAAGATTTCGGAAACAATTAAGAGATGGCAGAGGTGTTCAGTTATTTTTCTAACTTCACCTTTAAACTTCCAATTATTACTGCATCTTTTTTTCTGTGAAGATAGAGTTTTTATTGTGAAAAAAACAAAATGCCTGAGTGATTTGGTCTATTTACTGCTTGCCTAGCTAATTGGTGTTTTTGTTAAGTGCAAGTCTGTCAAATATATGAATATTTTATTCTACACGTTTAACATTTCTGTGGCTGTTGAATAATGCACGTTCGTTTGAGCAATACAATTTTTTCCAGAGTAGGTCAGGGCTTCTCATATGCTTCTTGTGCTTCGGCAGCTGGAAATGTATACCTCAATTTCTGAAAGGTGTCTGTCAGTAAGATGCTCTGTACTTTTATGACTGGAGCAGAGCTAGTTTTCTCTTTTCCAGCGAATTTAGAACTTCTTTCAACTGGTGCATTTTCTAGCTTCTTAAAAACTCTCATGCCTCCAGCTTTGACTGCAGGAAGGCACCCTTTAACCGGGGAAGGTGGTGGGGACAACTCCGGATTTGCCATTAAGAGTTCGGTAAAAAAGCATGTGATCTCACTACTAGGTAGTGTTACTACTAGTCCTCCAATTATTACTGCATCTTTAGTCATCTCTACTACAGAGAATAAAAGTAGGCCAGCTGGCAGATACATGTATGATCAGCTCAAGAAAAAAAAAAGGTGAAATAACAGCATGTAAGAATATATTACCCACCAGAGCTCACCTTGAGGGCTGAAGCCAGAAGTGGGTGTGTGAAAGTATGCTGTTGGGACTTCTCTTTTCGAATTCGCTGTTGTTTCGGCTTTTTCAGGCCTGTTTTGCTGGCTGCATCACCATTCACATTTTGATCTGAGGAATACAGTTGAAGAAAAAAATGTAACAAATCAAGGGTCAATTGGTTTTAACTGTTTTGAATCCCTAGTAGCATTTTTTTCAATTATCAGATCAGCACAATAAAAAATAAGTATAAGTAGCCTGCAGCAGAATGCTTTTTAATCTAAAAGCCAAGGCTTTAAAATGAAGTTATTTCTGTATCAATTAGTGTTTATGTGTCCTTATTTTAAGACATAACAATACCCATTACATAAAGATTCACATGTCTTTGGAGCATAAAAGCTAAGAAAGGGATGAGGGAAATGTGATATGAAGACCTCTAAATAATCACCTTTAGTAAAAATTTCATGTTAGCCTTTTGTATAGTCTTATAGTACCTTATAATACTTTTTATAAAACATATACACTTTCAGGGATCATACTTTGCTTCATTATATTTATGACGCCCATAAATACTCTTGTAGTTGCAGTTGTCAGACCATATGGAGCTAGTTCTGAGTAATTTCTTTATTGTTGTTTGCCTATATATAGAATCTTGCCAGACAGAACTATAGAAATACAGGTGGTCCTCAATTTACCACAATTAAGCCCAAAATTTATCTTGCTAAGTGGGACATTTGTTAAGTGCATTTTGCCCTATTTTGTAACCTTTCTTGCCACAGTTGTTAAGTGAATAATTGTAGTTGTTAAGTTAATAAGTGGGTTAAGTGAATGTGGCATCCTCGTTGACTCTGCTTGTCAGAAGGTCACAAAAGTTTTTCATATGACCTGGAGTACTGCAACTATCATAAATATGAATCAGTTGCCAAGCATCCAAATTTTGATCATATGACCACTGGGATGCTGCAATAGTTGTGTGAAAAATGGTCAGAAGTCTCTTTTTTCAGTGCCATTGTAACTTTGAATGGTCACTAAATGAACTGTTAAATCGAGGACTACCTGTACTCTGAACTGCTGGGAAGGGGCCATTTTAGCCCTCTTTCTGCCTAACAAACATTCCCAGCTCCCCTCCTCTTTACTCTCTGGGAGGCAGCCCCTCCCTTCTGTGACTCCCAATTACATTCCACTACAGCAGTGAATGTAAGAATAGATTTTTTGTTAAGATTTTTTTCTAGATATCTTCCAATGACCTCAAAATGGCACAGTGTTCATTCTTCTCCCATTTATTATCAAAACTCAGTGACTGCATTTCCACTATCTCTTAATCTGGTGACTAAATTACCAACCAATTCACACAACAAACTGAACCATAAATTAACCAAACAAGCTGGATTTACACAACATATTAAGCCAAAAAAGAAAGGAAAAACACGTTTATTGCTAACTTACCATGTTTCCCCAAAAATAAGACAGGGTCTTATTTTCTTTTGACCCCTGAAATATGGCCTTGGCTTATTATCAGGGGGTGATGGGTGGTGTCTTATCCCTAAACCTCAGCTCCGGAGCGGTGACCATCTGCTTTGCTGGTGCTGCTCAGGCCACTGCCTCAAGCAATATTCCTGTGCAAACAGCACGAGGTGAGTAGGCGAGGAGGGGGGCAAAGGGGGGGAATATGCCCCACACGCACCTGCCATCCACATGGAAACGGGGGTCTTTTCTTTGGGCAGAAAGTGGCCATGGCTTGCAACAAATGGGTTTTCTGATCTTGGGAATGCCAGGGCGAATGAAGGCAGACTCGGGAGTTAAGGCATGAAGCTCAGGCGGGGGGAGGCGGTGGGGAAGAGGATGGCGGCCAGATCCCCCTCGGGCATCCTCACAGGCGCCGGATCGAGGCCGCCCTTCGGCCAGGGGCGTTTCCTCCTCTTCCTCCTTCCTTTCTCTGGTTTCTGCTCATCGGAGATCGCCCGGCTAAGTAAGACGCCGGAGTGGCCACTCCAGGGACTCTGGCATCCTGGCATTGTTGTCGGCATCGGCATCGTGGCTGCCTTCTCCCCACCACCCCTTTCTGCTGCCCGAACGCTTAACCTGGCTGGTGGGCTCGTCAGAGCAGTCCCCTCGCCACCCCCCTCCCCCTAAGCCGCTCTGTTTATCAAGTCCTGTCTTGGAGCGCCGGTCTCACAGACAAAAAAAGGTTTGCCGAGGGCAAGGTTGGGCTGTGGACACGGGCAGCAGGCAGAAGGGGAAGGTGAACCCCCACCTCTCTCCTGGCAACCCCAGGGCTGGCCGAGAAACCCACTCCCCACTCTTCCACCTCTGTCGCAGGGTTTTTGGCATCCACAGGGGCTGATCGCCACCCACCAACAGGAGGCTCCTTTCAGCGTGGGGAAGCGGAAGGTCTCCGCGCCTGCCCATTGTGTCGAGCCGGGCGGGCAGGCAAGTGAGGCAGGAACCCCCGGTGCTGCCTTCCAGTCGAGGCTGCTTGCAAAATGCGCTTGTTGGGTCTGCGGGCTCTTTATTTCCCCTCCGGCTGGCCAGGCTCCCTCATGGGGCTTCCGAGGGGCTCCCAGTTGCAACTCTCCTTTTCTGGAGCGGCCGCCCCCATGGGAGACCCATTTTCCCCCCGAGCTGAGGCCAATTGGCAGCGGCGGCGGGTGGGAGAAGCCTCAGCAAAGAGGTCAGGGCGGACAGAGCCACTTTTCATGCGGGGCCAGAGGGTGCAGGCATGAGGGGGGGCCTCACTGGGCTGGACTCCGGCGCCAGACCCCCTCCCCCCAGTCCTAGGTCGACAGGGCTAGGGCTGGCAAGTTTTTTTGTGGCCGCTCTTTGTGGCTGTCACTAAGAGAAGGGGCGCGCGAGCTAGGGTTTGCAGGACCAGCCTCCACAAGGCCATTCTGTGAGAATGGCAGGGGCGCATGGGGCGTGTTCCCCCTCCCTTCCCCCCCTCTCCAGCGTTGCCTCCTCACGTCGTGTTGTTTGCGCGGCAGCTGTGCTTGCATCCAAGTATTTGGGGGGGGCTTACTTTCGGTGGGGAGGCTTATTTTAGTGCATGCGCTCAAAAGCCCAATTGGGTTTATTATCGGGACATGTCTTAGTCTCGGGGAAACACGGTAGTATATTGGGAAAAGCAACTGCGAGATCTCCCTAATTAAGCACTTGTTATAAAGGCCACTGAGGCTAGAATTCCAATCATCTCAAAGTTGACAAGGTTGAGAAGTATAGGTAGTCCTCAATTTACGACCACAATTGGGACCAACATTTCTGTTGCTAAGTGAAACATTTAACTGAGTTTTGCCCCATTTTACAACCGTTATTGCCACAGTTGTTAAGTGAATCACTGCAGTTATTAAGTTGTTAAGTGAATCTGGCTTCCCCATTGTCTTTGCTTGTTAGAAGTTCGCAAAAGGTGATCACATGACCTCCGGGATATTGCACCCGTTAAATCGCAATTGCCAAGTGTTGGATTTTGATCATGTGATTTTGGTGATGCTGCAACTGTCATAAGTGAACAATAGTCATAAGTCACTTTTTTCAGTGCCATTGTAACTGGTCACTAAACAAACCATTGTAAGTCAAGGACTACCTGTACTGAGACTTGCTAAACGTACTTTTTCTATTAACGACATTCCAGATTTAATTCCCAACCTATAGGTCTAGTAAAAAAAAAAAACACCTGCTGGGAAGTTCAGAAAGCCCCCACCAGCTTGCTTGACCCTATGATGAAGCTTCCTTGTCTATGACCTAAGCCATCTGAAATTTCCTCAATGTGAAATTTCACAGGCACAGCGACATGAAGCGAGCTGCACCCATATACATTTCAATCCTAACATCCGAGGCAATACTTCAGGGTATGTTTTTTCGGTTTTCTGCTGAGACCAATTCCTGCTTTCTTTCCGGCGAAAACGATGGCTCCAAGGCTGCTGCTGAACGTACCTCTGATTTTAAGATTTGAAACCAAGTTTCCTATTCACAGTCAAATACTTCCAACTATTAGACTGATCCAACGACGCCTTTGCTAGTCAGTCAGAAACGCTTCTCTGAACTAGGCCAGTTATCCAGGTCATGGTTGTCCCAAAGGTGCTTTTTCAGGAGGCAACTGGACTTTCTTTTTTTTTCTTTTGAGGACGTTTTGCTTCTCATCCAAGAAGCTTCTTCGTCTCTGTTAGGATAGTGGGGAATGAAAGGATTTATATTCCTTTTTGTCAGCTGGTAATCCGCATCCTTTTAGAGCAGAGGTCTTCAAACTTGGCAGCTTTAAGACTTGTGGACTTCAACTCCCAGAATTCTACAATCCTAGAGAATTATGGGAGTTGAAGTCCACAAGTCTTAAAACTGCCAAGTTTGGGGATCCCTGTTTTAGAGGGTTGTTGAAGCACTTGGAGGTTTATCTGTGTCCTCAGGGTTACCTGAATAATGCTCCTGGTTCTGTAGTCTGCAATTTTTCCTCTGGAAATCCAGAGTGGGAATAGGAATGGTTTTCCAGAGAAAAAAAAATGTAGACTACAGGAACCAGGAGCACTATTCAGGTAACCCTGAGGACACAGATAAACCTCCAAGTGCTTCAACGACCCTCTAAACAGTGTTTCTCAAGCTTGGAAGCTTGAGAAACACTGCTCTAAAGGATGCAAATGACCAGCTGCCTGCAAGGAATATAAATCCTTCCATTCTCCACTATCCTGTCAGAGCTGAAGAAGCTTCTTGGATGAGAAGCGAAACGTCTTCAAAAAAAGAAAAGAAATAGCAAGAAAGTCCAGTTGCCTCCTGAAAAACCACCTTTGGGACAACGATAACGGAAAAAACAAACAAACGCGCAGCGCTTTACAAAGCAACGTTTAAATCCGGAGCTGCCACGGCTCATTTTCTTGCGCAAGATGGAAACGTGGCTTCAAACCCCGCCCAGCAGAAAGCTGGCGGCGGGGCTTCAGCGCTTCGTCCTCGCTTACCCTCAGGCGTCCCGCTCAGTTTTGCCACGTCCTCCTTGCTCGACGCGGCCTTCGCCCACCGCGTTAGAAAGAACAGCAGCCCCCACAAAACGACGACGCCGAGGACCAGCGAGAGGCCCACCAGCGTCGCGGACACGACCGCCTCCCCCATCCTCCGGCAGCGGCGGTCGCCTCCTCCGCCGCCTCCTCCAGCTCCCCTCAGCCACCTCAGCGGAGGCGGGACCGGAGCGCGCACGCTGCACGCAGCAGCGGCTATATTAGCGTCTCTTCCGTTGCGTGCGCGCCCCCGTCTGAGCCTAGGCCCACCTCCGCCTGTCACTAAAGACGCATGCGCGTCGCTTTGCCAGGTAGATATATGTCAAGGAAGGCCCTATGAATGACGAAGTGAAATCGTTGAAGGGATTCTGGGAGTTGAAGTCCACCCATCTTCAAGCTTCCAAGGTTGAGAAACACTGCTCTAAAAGGATGCAAGTGACTCTCTTATTTTATTCATTAGCCTTAGACTGGCTCCACCTGACTCTGAGAAGTACTACGGCAGTAATTATGTCTTGAGGACTAGAAACGCTGCTAGTCGTCCGGGTTAAATTACAACTCGGCTGTCTCAATCCAGGGGTGGTGGTGGGGGATTAATTTTCCTAGCTCTGTGGCTCTTAACGGAGTCGGTGTCGCGTAAGAGTGACGTACGAAGATAGGCAGCATGGCAGCCTGCGGAAAGAGACCTGAGCACCGCGGGCCCCCTGAGCTGGTGAGAAAAGAAATAAATAAGCCCTGTTGCAGGAGAGGGCGAAGAGTGACGCGCTGTTTCATAGGGAAGAGGTGGAAATTCAGTCTTTGGAGCTAACCAGGGGCACCTCCATGCTCAAAGGCAGTCTATTCTGTGTTGCATTTCCCCTTCTCTTTCGAACCCTGCTGATTCACTCACTGCCTGCCCATTGGGGGTCTTCGACAAACAAAACATCGTAGTTATTTAGAATAGAATAGCAGAGTTGGAAGGGACCTTGGAGGTCTTCTAGTCCAACCCCCTGCCCAGGCAGGAAACCCTACACCACTTCAGACAAATGTTATCCAACATCTTCTTAAAAACTTCCAGTGTTGGAGCATTCACAACTTCTGGAGGCAAGTTGTTCCACTGATTAATTGTTCTAACTGTCGGGAAATTTCTCCTTAGTTCTAGGTTGCTTCTCTCCTTGATTAGTTTCCACCCATCGCTTCTTGTCCTGCCCTCAGGTGCTTTGGAGAATAGCTTGACTCCCTCTTCTTTGTGGCAGCCCCTGAGATATTGGAACACTGCTATCATGTCTTCCCTAGTCCTTTTCATTAAACTAGACATACCCAGTTCCTGCAACAGTTCTTCATATGTTTTAGCCTCCAGTTCCCTAATCATCTTTGTTGCTCTTCTCTGCACTCTTTCTAGAGTCTCCACATCTTTTTTACATTGTGGTGACCAAAACTGGATGCAGTATTCCAAGTGTGGCCTTACCAAGTGGTATTAATACTTCATGTGATCTTGATTCTATCCCTCTGCTTATGAAGCCCAGAACTGTGTTGGCTTTTTTGGCAGCTGCTGTACACTGCTGGCTCATATTTAAATGGTTATCCGCTAGGACTCAAAGATCCCTCTCACAGTTACTACTATTGAGCAAGGTACCACATATACTGTATCTGTGCATTTTGTTTTTCTTGCCTAAATGTAGAACCTTCCTTTTTTCACCATTGAATTTCATTTTGTTGGATAGTGCCCAATGTTCAAGTCTGTCAAGATCCTCCTGTATCTTAAGCCTATTGATGCATTAAAAGTGAAATGCGACCTTGATGCCAGAACAAGTGTAAGGCATAGGAGAATAACTATTAAGAATGGTAATTCTTTCAAAGTTATACTCTGGAAGGGTTTAGAATAGCCCACTCCTAATCCAGAAGCTCCATTCCTGAATGAGATTCCCTAGTTACAAATCTTTGGAAAGTAATGTAATGATACATATTATATGCGTTGTGCTGCTCTTGTTGGTAGAAGCAGCCTGGAATGATACTTTCTTAGTTCACCAAACAAGTAACTGTAATGTATTAAATCCCTGAACACTGAAATGGATTATTTCATTGTGTCCCAGTGTTTGAATTCCGACATTCAATGTGGTCCTGTAGGATGGTTCTTATGATTAATCATGTAGTGATGTAGAATGGAGTCTGTATATTCAGTCCACTTCGTAGTTCCAGGTTGATGAAGATCAAGGGGAAGAGAACTCTTTGTTTAAGGCCCTATGGTATTGCTTCTTTGGCTTCTGGTTGGTCACCATGGAAAGGAGGAGGAGGATGAAATAAAATGGATCCAGTCAAGTTCTTAATACTGTTACAGTATTCCTTATTTCCATCTTGCTTTGACTCAGGTTACAGGTCCAGCCTTTCGTCTAAACTGTGAAGTACATTGCCATTTCTGGGGACAAAAATATGTTGAAGAAGCAACATATCTGAAATAGCTGAATAGATTTTCCATTTTTGGAAGCACACTGTTTTTCCAGTTTCTGCTTCTAGGAACTAATAGGGCTGTTGGTGTTCTACTCTTATGAGCCTCAAGGAAGCATCTGTAATGTACTAGGAAGTCACTACCGTAGGTGGAGGAAAACTAGCACAGGCTCTGTTTATGATCTCTTGGTAATTTAAAGTGAAATCCCAGTTGTTCTATAGGAGCAGTAATTTGTCCATGTCAAATTGTATTATGGGCAGGAAAAAAAAATGGGATGGGGAGGATAATCTGGATTGAAAGGAAAATCTCTGTGTTATATACAAGACAAAAATCTAACAGATGAATTGATTTCATCTCTCTCTAATGACCTTTCCAGAGGAAGGATGAAAGGCTTTTGAATGGATCCAGCAAAACTTCTTTTTGTGATTTTCTTTTATTCATTTCTCTTTTCTTTCCCCCCCCTAGTTCTATGATGAAGCTGAAGCTCGGAAATACACACATAAGTAAGCCAATCTTGGGCTGTGAGAAGCAGCTTATTTATAGAATTTATATATTTTTAAAATTCAAATCAACCATAGCACATAGCGCATCAGTTAAAATTTCCAAATAGCTAATTTAAAATGAAATCCATTGGATTTGCAGAGTTCATCATATTTAATGCATATAATATATAAACTGTATATTAAGCAATATGTGGATATATCTTCATTTTATTTAAGTCATTAAGTTATTAGTTACAAAACGCATTTAGAGTTTTTGAAATATAGTACATTGTCAGGTTTCTCAGAGATCTGTCTCTCTTCACATGGTACTTAAAACATAAAAGTACTCTTTAAAATGTTTTTTAAAATCTTTTTTGCTGAAATATAGGTCAAAATAGATTAAAACAATTTGAGAAGATTACAAAGAAGGTAGTCAGGTAGAACTTCCCTTATTACAGTTAAATTGCAGTTACAAAGTTGGTATGAATGTGTCAAGGGAAATCTGGCTTTTTTGCAGAATGGAAATAGAAGTGCCAACAGGAAAAGTTCTTGAATGTGTTGCTGGAGAAGGAATGATTCCCTAAAAGGTGTGATGCTAAGTATATTGTGAGTGTTGGAAAAACACTTGTCCATCTGACACATTCATTGGGAGTTATCATATGGAGAGAAACTTATGTAGCCTCATGTGGTTGTCAGCAGCTTCCATTTGTCCCTATTCTGTAAGGAGGAAAAACTGAAAGGGAGAAGAACCAAAACCACCTTAAAGAATCCTTTAAGTGGATTGACCCATCTTGTCTTTCGTAATGTAGCAATAACAATAGCCCTTACACTTATATACTGCTTCATACTGCTTTACAGCCCTCTCTAAGCGATTTACAGAGTCAGCATATTGCCCCCAACAATCTGGGTCCTCATTTTACTGACCTTGGAAGGATGGAAGGCTGAGTCAGCCTTTATAAATGGAACTGCTGGCAGTAGGCAGAGTTAGCCTGCAATACTGAATTCTGACCACTGTGCCACCATGTATCATTTCTTCTCCTGAGTTCCTGGAATAGATTGCTTATTGTTTGTCCATAAGCATCTTCTTGCAATTTCAAGAATGAGTTAAAAAGAAGCTTACATTTTCCTATGAGTATTCAAGAGAATATGGTGCTGTATGTATGTTTGTTTCTTGATGGCACACATGTATTCAATTTCCATCCTCTAGCTCTCGAATGATTGAGATTCAGTCTCAGATGTCAGAACGGGCAGTGGAATTGCTGGGTCTCCCAGACGATCGTCCATGTTTTTTGCTGGATGTTGGGTAAATTTGTTTTGTTGTTCTTAAGGGATTGATCTACCAAAATAGGAATGGGTTTTAAAGTTTATTTCCTAGGGAAGTGATACCATGTTTGCATTGCCCACCCACACAATCAATATAAGCTCTGAGACTTCCTAAAATCTAAATTTTAAAGGTCTCCTTGAAGCATGACTGGCTATATATCAAAAGCCCTTCTTTAGGAAGCAGCAATTACCTTTAAATGCTCAGTGTTGAATCATGGCCCATTAAGTCCATTGTTACATTCCCCTGAAAGCAGCTCTGCCAGGTTGAAGGTAGAATGATGGCTTTCATGCAACCACCATTCTGAGATGTTCTCCATATTTAAAAGTAGAAACGTAGAATGTTGGGTTGCCTCCCTCCCAAGCAAACTGTGTGCTGTGCCATTTAGCTGCAGCTCATCGTCCAATAAATGTTGTCTGGTGTCCCTCTAGATGGAAACAAATATGCAAATTGTGTATCAGAATATCACTGTGGTATCAAGAACCAAATCAAAGTTTCTGCCTTGCCTACACTGACATATTATGTCCTGAAATTGGCAATTTTTGGTACAAGTGAAATAGATTGCTATTACCCTGATTCAACAGTGTGATCAGTAGAATTATAAGTGGGGGAGGGGGATGTTTTTAAATTTAAGCCACCTTTCAAACAGTTGTAAATTCCTGAAGTATTAAAGCAGTTCTTCCCCTCTCTCATTAACTACATCTTCATTTTAAAATACCGTATTTTTTGGAGTATAAGACGCACCTTAGTTTTTGGGGAGGAAAATAAGAAAGAAGCTGATTGGCAGGTGGATCTGCCTCCCGGAATACCCCCAAATCAGCTGTTCCCAGAATTTTAGTAACAGGTTCCTTTATTGTGCCTTGCTTTTTTTTTTTTTTTTTTTGTTTTTTTTTTGCCTCTGAAACTTCTGAAACTCTGTTTCAGAAAAAACCTTTTTTTCCTGCCTCTGAAACAGAGCTTCAGAATAAAAGCCTCTGAAGCTCTGTTTGGGCGTTTCGTTTTTGAAGCTTCGTTTCTGATGCTTTTTTCAGCCTCTGAAACCTCCGTTTGAGAAGCTGGGTGGGGCTACATTTGGAGTATAAGACACACCCAGATTTTCACCCTCTTTTTTTGGGGGGGGGGAAAAGGTGTGTCTTATACTCTGAAAAATACAGTAGGTGAGTTCTGCATTTAGGGGTAGCTTTGCTTTGATCCACAAAACTAGCAGGATTTTTTGAGTAACAATATATCTCCAGGGTTTAACATTTTTTAATTCTTCACTCTTATCTTGTTTAGTGAAAAAGTGAGCGGATATTTATTTGTCCTAATTGTCCTTTTCCTATCAGCTGTGGCTCTGGTTTAAGTGGTGATTATATCTCTGAAGAAGGGCACTGTTGGGTTGGTATGGACATCAGTTCAGCAATGCTTGGTGAGTAGGTCTCTCTCTTTTTGCTCTCTCCTTAGCTAAACTTTTCATGCCTGGGAAATGGCAGCGTCCTGCTTTCTTTATTCTAATTAGATGTAGCCATGGAGAGAGAAGTGGAGGGAGACCTGATGCTTGCAGATATGGGCCAGGGGATTCCCTTCCGACCTGGAACATTTGATGGCTGTATCAGGTAAGAATTTGTAACACCCATCACCAATAACCAGTTACTACAAGATAAGGAAAATATCATATTCCCTGTCTGAATTATTTTCTTGCAGTATTTCTGCAGTTCAGTGGCTCTGTAATGCTGATAAGAAAACCCACAGCCCTCCAAAGCGACTCTATCGATTCTTCTCAACTCTATATACTGCTCTGGTAAAGTTTTGTTTTTCTCTTATTTAAACCTTCCCCCCCACCTCTTAAGGTTTCTAATTAAGGAAGGTAAGAGATCCTATCTGTATTTTGCAGCTTGACAATTAGCTGTTATATATAAAGTACAAGTAAGCTGAGAGGAGGAAATTAAGAGAGGGAGAGGTGGAGCAATATGATTTAGAAGTATGCGTAGGGACTTGAAATATGATGAAGCAGGCAGGTTCTGTTTTCCCCCCTTTCCCTTTTGCTATTCTGAGAAAACTTGGAGAAGAGTTCAGTCTTTCTTCTGTGTTCAGATCAATAAGAAGATTGACCTTGAAATCAAATGGAAATTGCAGCTGTCCTAATAGTTAGGCTTCCCTAGCAAAGAAGGTTCAGAGGCTAAAGCAATGTTTCTCAACTTCAGCAACTTTAAAATGTGGGGACTCCCAATTCAGAGAATACTCCAGTCAGCAATGCTGGCTGGGGAAACCTGGGAATTGAAGTCCACTCATGTTAAAGGTGCCAAGGTTGAGAAACATTAGGCTAAAGCTTCTGCAGGATGTAGCAAAGTAATGCTCCCCCACCACCGCTGCTTAGATACAGCTGAATGAAAAAGAGTTTTAAGGATGAGAGAGGGGAAACATTCTGCCATAGCTTAGTGTGGAGTAAACTTGGCAGGAAGAAGATATTAGAATTTTCAGGAAACTGTGATCTTGGATAGTAGAGCTGGGGAAAAATTGATTCCACTGCCATTCAAAGCAGATGATATCGGGCTGGATTAACCATTAATCTTTGAGAAAAGTTGCTTCAATATTTATTTCTCATAAATAAGTTCATGGCCAGATTGCAAGATCTCATATATAACTGACATTTTGTTTTCTAGGCTCGAGGAGCCCGTGCTGTTCTACAGTTATACCCGGAAAACTCTCAGCAGGTTTGTGTCTTGGGCCTGGGAAGAAAAATTTACTGGGTAGGAAGGCATGTAGAGGAAGGTAACTTTATGTAGGAGGCAGTGGTGGGATTCAAAAATTTTTACTACCGGTTCTGTGGGCGTGGCATGGCTCGGTAGGCGTGGCAGGGGAAGGATCAGTGGTGGGTTGCCTCCGGTTTGGACCGGTTCACAAGAACCGGTAGTAAAACTGGCGGGAGGCTCCGCCCACTGACCCGGACATCATCATAAGTGATCTCTGCATGCGCAGGCACGATGCGAACCGGTAGTAAAGGTAAGTAGAACCCACCCCTGGGAAGGATACTGTAAAATCTCCATTCCCATTCCACTCCAAGGAAAGGTTACTGCAAAATCTCCATTTCCTCCCGATCAGCTGGGACTCGGGAGGCAAAAAACAGATGGTGGTGGGACCAGTCAGAGGTGGTATTTACCAGTTCTCCGAACTACTCAAAATTTCTGCTACCGGTTCTCCAGAACTGGTCAGAACTTGCTGAATACCACCTCTGGTAGGAGGTTGGGTGCGTGTTGTGTCGGTAGATCAGCAAGAGCTGATCTTGGTTGCTTGATCAAATTAGGCAAGTCAATGTTTTCCATACTTCTGCTGGAATAATTTAGGAGAATTACGTTTCAACATTATTCACACCTTTTAATGTATATTCTGCATATACCCTGCACATGTGAGCTTCTGCCTTTTAAGAGGCAGAAGGCATTTAGAGAGACATGAGGAAGCCATGCCCCAGTTTTTTTTTTTCCTTTGGTTTTAAAGAGCAGGGAATCTCTAAAGTGCTCTGGGAAAAAGAAAACTTGAGTCCTATTCTGGCAATACTTGTAAATGGTATAGGAAATTTGAGGAAGGGGAGAGAAAAAAAAAAAGAGAAGATGCTCCTATTGTGTCTATGGAGATTCTCAGTCATCCAGGTCAAGGTTGTCCCAAAGGTGCTTTTTCAAGAGGCAACTGGACTTTCTGGTTTTTCTTTGAAGATATTTCGCTTCTCATCCAAGAAGAAGCGAAATATCTTCAAAGAAAAACCAGAAAGCCCAGTTGCCTCTTGAAAAAGCACCTTTGGGATGTTCCTATTGTGTTTAGCTTTAAAATGGTTTGCATTTAGTTTTTAAAGTGGGCATTATTTCTTCTTATGGGCTATCTGTAGTTCTAACTGAGCTTGTAATCCAGGAGCTGGCAAATTACAATCAGTTATCTTTTTTTTCATGCAGTTTGTGAAGTGAGTAGATGTGTGAATAGGAGGGCAGAAAGCAGATTCCCAAGCCAAAGTTGAGCTCCCAGGGCAAGGTGCAGGGCTAGGAATGGAATGTCTTGAGCAGCAGCATCTATCAGCAGCCTCCTTGCTGGTAGACTGGTGGCTTTCAGTAGCTGCCACACTTCTCGGCTTGCAGATCTGCCAGCCATACCAGGGGCCAGTATGAAAGTGCAGAAGGGTAGGATCCAGTGGTGAAATTCAAATTTTTTTACTACCGGTTCTGTGGGCATGGCTTGGTGGGGTGGCTTGTTGGGCGTGGCAAGGGAAGGATGCTGCAAAAATCTCCATTTCCACCCCACTCCTGGGGGAAGGATATTGCAAAATCCCCATTCCCTCCCCACTCTGGGGCCAGCCAGAGGTGGTATTTGCCAGTTCTCCAAACTAGTCAAAATTTCCACTACCGGTTCTCTGAACTGCTCAAAATTTCCGCTACCGGTTCTCTGAACTGCTCAAAATTTCCGCTACCGGTTCTCCAGAACCTGCTGGATTTCACCCTGGTAGGATCTCACCTTTTACAGAAAAGTTTGCCAATCCCTGCGCTAATGCCCAGTAGAAGTGCAGAAGCAAATCAAAAAAAGGAGCAAGTCCCTTTGTAAGGATAGAGGAGGGAGTGTGGAATGTGTAGAAAGGTCTATTGGATGAGGGAGCCTGGCCCTTCCCATCCTCAAGAGGGAGGTCTGTAGATTCACTGAAGTTCTTTCTCTTGGCAGCTGGAGCTCATCACCACCCAAGCCATGAAGGCAGGTTTCACGGGTGGCATGGTGGTAGACTACCCCAATAGTACCAAAGCCAAAAAGTAAGTCTTTTGCTATCTGGAGAAAGGTTGGTACTTCAGGTTCTGGGGAGATGGGGATGCTCCACAAGGCACACTGTGTGAAGTTTTTGTATCAAGAGCGATATGAATCTCTCTGATCAGTTCAGTGCATGCGTAGCTTCAAGTTTTGGGGTAATAGATTACTTGTGAAAATTCAATTGTGCCAAACAATATTATGGTTTAATATGTTGTGTACAGTTAGGAAAGGACCACCTCTTAAGACACTTTTCATGAGAGATCCTTCAATCTAACGTGGCAGACATGTTCAGATCTCAGCTCTTGTGGGAAATTCCAACTCATCTCATGCAGTTCTATAGGGCTGTTCAGTTCATTGAAATAAATCCCATGTTTCTCTTTTCCCGGCACTTCATTTTGATGAGGAGGGAGGGACCACTTTTCAGTACTGGATCCTTTTTAGATAGCAGAAAAGGCCCTATCTTCTGGAGATCTTTGATGGCTTCTAAGAGTCAGTACTAAATGGCACCAACCTATCATCTTTCAGTAGAGTAGCTCCTTTGACCTTTGAGAAGTTATTTAAGAAGTTCCTTTCTATGTGTGGATTTGATATTCCACTTATCTTTTTCTTTTTACAGATTCTTTCTCTGTCTCTTTGCTGGCATAACTGATGTATTACCAAAGGTAATAAAATTGATGGGAAAATTGAACTGCTTTAATCTAGAACACTTCCACAATGAAGGACAAAGATAGATTGTTGACAGATGAGATGGCCTTTTAATTCCTCTGGCACCTATCTCACTTCCAAATGCTTGTCGTTTGAAAGCCATATTTTCAATTCTTGTCAAATTAAAGAATATTTTGTTTACTAAGCGGTATGTTTTTTGTTTGTTTTTTTGCTCCAGAATGACATGTTGGAACATTTAAGCAATATCTGATCTCTGCTAAGCATGGTCATTGAGCTTCCCAATTAAGATGGTCTGTGGCTTTTAAGTTCACTGCCTGGACCACTTACCATATTTTTCGGAGTATAAGATGCTCCAGACTATAAGACGCACCTACCTTTTTTGGTGAGGAAAACAAGAAAAAGAAATCTGCCTCTGCCTCCCAGCAATTTTGCCTAGTTGCAGCAAACAGCCTGCTTTACTTTCATTTTCGTTTTCAGAATAGCTTGAATAGCACAAGAAAAAAAAACTGCTCCCAGTAATTTACCTCCTTGCAGCAAGCAGCAGAGGCCCGCATAGCAATAGGCAATGGCAATCCCTGCAGCCTGAAACAGCTGAGAGTCGGGAGGCCAATCCAATGGACAATCAACTTGTGCTAATTAGGCTGTGTGCTGAAGCTGAAATGGGCTGTTTCTTCTTGCTGCTTGCTGCAAGGAGGTAAATTGCTGGGAGGCAGAAGCCAAAGGGTGGGGGCCAGTGGGTGGGCGGGGCTACATTTGGTGTATAAGACACAACCAAATTTTCACCCCCTTTTAGGAGGGGAAAAGGTGCATCTTATACTCCGAAAAATACGGTAATTGTACCTTCCTGTGTAATGGTCTGTAAGAATGACCTTGAGGCCAGACAACAATCAGACAAAGGGCAGCTGAGTCCAGAGAAGGAATGTGGGTATGGCAAATAAGTCAGAAAGAATCCTCTTTAGTCTCTTGCATTGTAAAGATGAGGTGGGGGAGAAATGATTTCAGACTTGCAAGATTCTGATAATGTAACCTTTCAGGTAAAGTTAGAGCTAGTATTTTTTGGGTGTGCTTTTTGTCTGGACTACCTTGTAAGGCTGACACAGCTTGATTTTTTTTGTGGTTGGGGTTTCTCGTTCATTTAAATTCACACGGATTGTTTTATTTTGTGGTTTTGGCAGGGTCTTGGTACAGAATGCAGTGAAGAAGAGACCACGCAGGCCAAATTCACCAATGAAAGGTACCAAGGCCAGAACTGGAAGCAGGAGGCCATTGGGTTTAGGGTGGTTCAGACTGAATTGACCTCTTGAACCTCAGAGCCCAAACTGCAAAATAAGAGCAAGAGTGGTTTGCCTTTTTGGGGTCCTGGGAGAAGCAAGAGCCTATAAGCAAGTTGTCTAAAGCAAGTGCTGTTTGCAGTTGAGTATCTTCTATGGCAAAGGTCTTCAAACTTGGCAGCTTTAAGACTTGTGGACTTCAAATCCCAGAATTCTGGGAGTTGAACTTCACAAGTCTTAAAGCTGCCAAGTTTGAAGACCTCTGCTCTATGGTGTGTGGGCTTGATAGGCAAATCAGCAACGTCTCCTCCTCCCTAAAGCTGTGAAAGGCTACATTCCCCCTCTTCATGGCTTGGGGGAGAGACAAACAGCAATAGCCAGAGGATCATTGTCATGGTAATCAACAGCCTAATTGCCATGTTTTCCTGCCTCTGACATGCTGCTAATGGAAATGCTCTGATTTGGTCAATAATATGAATTAGTGGATGTGTAGCCCAACTTTATCTAATCTACGTAGTTCTGTCCCAATATTGGCTGGGAGTTAGAAAAACAAAATCCAACATCCTTCCCGAGGAAGGTTGGGATAGTTTCTGTCATTTGTTGCACTGGTCTTTTAAACTCTAGTAATATACTATACCAGGGGTCTGCAACCTTAAACACTCAAGAAGCCGTTTGGACCCGTTTCCCACAGAAAAGAAAACACCAGGAGCCACAAAACCTGGGTGGGCGTGGCCAGCTCGAAGTCACTCACTCCCATTAGTCACATGATCTCCCCCCCCAGCCATGCCTACCCAGCTGGTCATCAGGGCAGAGAACCGGTTGTTAAAAAACATTGAGAACTACAAAAGCCTTTTGACATCTCTCTCTCCCTCCCTCCCCTCTCTCTGTATCTCTCTATGTTTCTCCCCCTCTCTTTGTATCTCTCTGTCTCTGCCCTGGCCGCTTCTCCATCCCCCACTATTGCCCTTACCTTCTCAGGCCAGGCAAGGAGTGACTGGGAGGGAAGGTGAGGGGTTGGGCCAGCCAGTGGTGGGATCACCCGACAGGGAGCCACAGCAGAGGGCCCAAAGAGCCGTAGGTTGCTGACACCCGTACTATACAATAAGTCCCTATGCTGTTACTTCATTTCCATGCTCAAGGTCTTTTTTTTTTTTAATTCTAGTCATTTCAGGGAAATCACATCTTTCTATATGGACTATCCTGAGGCTTTATTCTGATTTCCCCTTAGCAGGCTAGATGAGCCTTTTAAAAGTGGGACCTTCTCAGTTACAGCCCTAGTTGACAATTGACAAAGACTTTGAGCAATTTGTACAGTTTTCTACTTGTTGGTAGACCTTTTAAAGGTCCATTGAAGGACCTTTGAAAAAGTGATAATTTTTGTGTTGCTTCTTTGCTCCATTTCTTTCTTTTCTAAAAAAAATTTTTTATTAAATAAACAAAAATGTTGGACAGTTATGACCATCCTCGTTTTGTCATTTCCATACATATTTTTAACATAACAACAAATACTATTTATCATACAGTACATTACTACATTGATCTTATAAACATATCCCTTGTCCTCATTTGTATATTTGTCTAAATAGTGTCCATTTTCAGTTCTACAAACCCTAAATAATTTCTCCTCCGACTCTTTTTCCTCCTTTCCAGCCATTGGTACAGTTTGTTCCAAGTGTCATAGTATTCTGTAAATGGACAGGTTGACACTAGAACTCAAAAATAAGGGCAAGACAGAATGCTCTAATTTCTATGTTTTGCTGTTTTCTGAGGCTACTTGGCATTGAACTAAAGTAACAACTGATAATATTTGTGATGTGATTTTTTTTCTCAAGGGTCCGGTTTAAAAATGCCAAAGGGAAGTCAGTGAAGAAGAGTAGAGACTGGGTGTTGGAGAAGAAAGAACGGCGGCGGCGACAGGGCAGGTAAGTCTGAACTCTGCATCGTCCTTCAGATCAAGGTTCTTTATATCCCATAGAATGGGCCCAGGTGGCAACCTATGGCCTCATTCGGAAGGCTTGGCAGATCCCAAGAACTAAAATAGCTGAGAATTGTTGGTGCAGTTTCCTATCATTTTTAGGCAGGAAACAGATATGAAAGCTGTGTTTGCGTGACATGGCTGACCTTGCAATCTCTTTTGCAGTCAAATGTTCTGGCAACATCTAATAGCAGATGGCTTAGTCAGGCTTTCTGTGGCTGTTTTACCCAGTTTACTGGAAAAAGCAGCTGCTACTGCAAAGGAGGTTAGCATTTCCCTTTCCTCTCCCAGGTATCATTTTTGCCACATCAAAATGTAAAATACAATTTACATTTGATACCACACTTAATTTTCAAGTGCAGTATTACATTGCTTCTTTTCATTTATTGATCATTATTTTAAAACAGTAAATAAATAAAAATACTGTACATGATCTTAGCCAAAAGGCTGAGAATCTATTGGAGCATGATCAGGATCAAAGCCAGGATTGGTGACTGTCTCAGCTACCCTCATGAAAATCAGAATGGGCATAGAGACAAAACGCCAGAGGCCTTGTTTTTACAACACCTGTGACATTGTCATCATGGGACAGAAGAAAGGCAATTAAATCCTCAGTAAGTCATTCATATGGTGCACCAACCCACGCCTATTACATCATGCCGGAAAAGAAAATAATCCTATGTCTCCTTCTTGCATTTTGCCCACTCTTACTTTGTTTTCTTTTATGGTTCATCTGCAGGAATGTGAGAGCAGACACAAAATACACAGGTCGAAAGCGGAAACCTCACTTCTGACTTCCTGCTAATTGGACTGAAGTAGTTCTTTGGAGTTTTTTTGGAGCTGGGCTGTTTTGTTGTGGGGTGGAAAAGGAGGAAGCAAATTGAACAGAAGCTGCTGAAAACTTCCAGGCTGGCCACAGTCCCTTCTTTGCTCCTACCCCTTTAAAAAGAGCATCTCACAGAGAATATGGGACCCTGACAATTCACAATGTTTCTTTGCTACCCGATTCTCCTTTGGTTCCTGATGGTTTCAGATTAGGTTGGGTTGGTTTTACTACTCCAACTCTCAATTAAATGAGGTCTTGGAAACAGATTCTGTGTCATTGCTAGTTGGTTTAAGATGCTACAACTGGGGGCAGGGGAGCATCAACTGCCCCCGATATATTTTGAGATTTCTATGCCTGCTTTAAAAGCTGGAAGAATGATAAAATTGACATTGTGCTCTGTAGCTATTCTGGACCACAACCAACAACACAGGCAAAAATCTGGGCTTAGGTGATCATCAAGCATCTTACTTTGTGTGCCTTAAAAAGGGTGCTAGTGGACCCCATCTTAGTCTGAGCTCTGTGCTGAGCAGAAGCAAATCAGTGAAGAAACAAAGCACTATTTAGGATTTTCTAGCTAGTGACATTTGAAAAAGGTACCATATTTTTCGGAGTATAAAACGCACCGGAGTTTAAGATGCACCTTAATTTTTGGGGAGGAAAATAAGAAAAAAAAATTCTGCCTATCGGGTATTCATCTGGCTATTCCTTAGTCTGGTCAGCTCCAGCACATTAGTTCTCTGGTTTTGAGCGTTGGGAATAAAAAACAGTTTCTAAAGCACAGCTGATCTTTGGAGAGAAGCAATGAGAAAAGCAGGCTAAGCACGGACGATCACTTCATTAGCGCCTCAGGGCTGAAAAAAAGCTTCGAAAAAGTTACATTCAAAGTATAAGACACACTCAAATTTTCAGCCTCTTTTGGGGGGGGGGTCTTATACTCCGAAAAATAAGGTATGTGTACCATATCAGAAACCAGAAAATATCTTGGTAAGTTAGTTACTTGGCATGGGGTTCTGCTTTCATCTAATTTCCAGGAATAGGAAAATCTGAATACTTATGTGCTGTAATAAATACGGTGTACACTTTTAAAATTAAATTCTATATAACCATCCCAGAAGCCATGTAGTACAGCTTATCCCCCCCTCTATGTTCCAGTTCACAGAAGACTCAAAAGGATGACATATTTGATATAAATATTCTTTATTCTACATAAAAGTTCATTCATAAAAGAAAGCCGTTTCCCTCCTGAAGTTTGGAGGTGGTGAGAGAAAGACGTTTGGGGACAAATTGAGCAAAAAAAAAGAAAAAAGGCTGGAATGTAGAAAGGAGGCAATAGAGCAGAGGTCTTCAAACTTGGCAACTTTAAGACTTGTGGACTTCAACTCCCAGAATTTTGGGAATTGAAGTCCACAAGTCTTAAAGCTGCCAAGTTTGAAGACCTCTGCAATAGATGATTAGTTCCAGATTCCTCAAGCTGGAAAGTGAGACTGGAGGGTCACAAGAGACAAGGGCACTTAATTTACATTGTACAGCAACATTACAACTCCTGGGGAGGCCTCTATGACAGCATAGGTGAAATGTCTTCCCCTGCAAGAATGCTGAATACTGCAACAGGTGAGACTACAGTGGCACTTCAGAGGGTTTTTTTTTAAAAAAAGATTAAAGATGATTGACACGTTTTCTCAGTATCTGGAGAGATTCCTGAAGCACAGACGTCCTAGTAACAGCTCTATTTTTGACATGCAACAAAAGGAAGGTGTGAATAGAGGGAGGAGCAGTAGCTGCCCTAGTGCTGCCGCAGAGCTTTTGCCCCGTGCCGATCGTAGAAAAGTTAATTAAGGTCACCCAAACCGGGGAAAATAAAGGAAGCGGCTTAACAGTTTCGGAAGGTGGGGGAACTGCCATGAGCAAAATTGAAACTTGATTATAACTGTTCAACAGAGAGGTTATTTTCAATATTTACTGACTACTATGGAAGGAAAAAAACAACCATCTATTGGCAGGGAGGAGCCAATATCTGCAACCGGTCTTTCAAGTATGTACTTCACCTAACCATGTTTTAGTTCTGGAATTGCAAGGTGGCACAAATGGGTTTTTGAAGCTCATCTGTGCTACGTCTCTCCGTCTTGACCGATTAATGAGGATTATGTAAGCTCTCTATCCTTGAGCAGACTCTCTTGGGAGTCTTCTTGTTCCCCAATAAGCCATTTCTGACTAAGGCAAACTGATGAGAAGCAAACATCCTTTAGGGGCGAGGATAGGAGCGCAGGTTCTTGGTCCAGAATTTTACTATATTATTGTATGAAAGATACTGCTGGTGTTGTGAAGCAGCTGGAAGAGCTAAGTTAAGACTAGAGAGACTGGAGATTTGGCAATTTCTGGGTAGCTTGGAATAATCATAGGAGGCAGCTTGTGACATAAGAGGGAGAAGATGGCCGACCCCACCGGTTTTGTCATCAGAAGCAGGTCCAGGCAGCTCCTCTTAAGAGGAAATGCCGTCTGCGTTTCTCTCTCAAGAACCACCTGGTGAAATCCTCAGTCAGCCCACAGGAACAAAAGAAAGAAAGAAAGAAAGAAAGAAAGAATGTGGAACTTGATTAATAACAAGCCTTTTGCTGTTGGGTAATGCAGTGGACAGGTAAAGAGTCAGATACTCAGGTACTGACAGTGAAATTTTACAGTGGCAGAAGTTGGACTAGCCCAGTTGGTCTTTAGCACAAAGAGGCTAATTCAAGGCCAAGGAGGTTTCAGTCTCTGGCATAGCTTAAGCATCCAACACGTGTATTGCAGGCATGATGACAGTTTATGCAACGAGGCACAAAGTTGATAGAATTCCAACCTTCATTGAAGGCAGGGTCCTCAGCTGTTTCATTCCAGTGGGCATAACTGGATTTTCAACACGCCACAGGTGCCCTTGTCCCAGTCACAAAGTACCCATTTACCAGAGGGCAAATGAGAGAGAATTCTATTTCCTTTCTAACTCAATTGTTAAAAAGTTTGCTACTAGCCTGGTTAACCTTCATCTTTTTTGCAGCCACCATTTTATTTCCAAACATATAAGGACCAAAAAGCCAACTTTGAAATAAAGCATTTAAAAAAAAAATGGGACAGAAGGTCTGGTAAGGGCCAAGGAATGGCACGGACACATTAGTGCCACAAGCATTTTAATAGGTCCTCCATATAAGGCTGCTTCTCATATTTCAAACTCAGATTTGTTGTGTTGTATGATGGAGGAGCTGCAACTTGTCTAGAACGCATTTCGAAAAAACGCATTTGTAAATTCCCATTTCATCATCCACAATTCCTTACAATCCACCAGCCCTTGGTTAACATCCAGAAGACCTAATTGGATGTGGTGAAGCTTACCTTTGACTCCTCCAATTTAGCTGGTTGTTTAAAAGTAATTATTAGTGGTTTTGTCCTAATTTCATGTTGCAGGTCACCTTTCTGCTTTTTTTTTAAACAAACAAACCTTGAATGACATTTTAAAGAAACACATTACATGTTGCTTTCAGGAAGGCAAGAGGAAAAAAAAGCCCGGTGAAATTGAAAAAGGGGGTGAGGTTTCCGCTGAACAGTAATGGCGCTCTGGGCAGAACTGTGGAAGACACAGATTTGGGCCTGGTGGGCCATACCCATCTCTTACTCCTGGCTGGGCAGCTGCAGAATTAAAAACAAAATACAGAATACTCTAGATGAACAGGCCTGCAACACTACAAAGAGGTCCTTGCCCATGGCTAAAAAAAAGAGGAAGACTGGCCTGGTTGGAGCTAACAGCTATTGCCAAAGAGGCTCCCCTACTCTTACAAGCAGCCGCGCAGAGGACACAGTTCTGGTGACAGATGATAATGACCAGACCTTGTCCTTGCCAAGGCAGGGACTGAATTAACTGTGCATAGCTGTCCTAGCAGATTCTTATTTTGGGGAGAAGAAAGAGGACTTCACTGGAAGGGAAAGGGGATTCGGTTTGAGGAGATCTGACCATCAAGAAGAGGTCAAAAGGTGGTGGAACTGCTTGAGCATGTCATGCACACACTCCCTTCCCACCATCCCACCCCCAGCACCATCCCTCCCCCAACACGTACACTGTACTTAACACATAGTGTTAACACAAATAATCATGCATTAGAGACGAGAGTGCTGGTCCGCCAGTTTTCTCCAACGGCGGCTATAGGGTTTGGATGGGCCCAAGTGGGTGGTGGGCTGGGTGGCTCCGGTGCTCCTATTCATCTCCTTACTCCCATAAGCGATATTCTCGGATGGTTGCAGGCTTTTAGCCAAAAATCCCGCCAATAGTAGAAGCAATGACAATTCCCAGAACGACACAGCAGATGATAATCATAATCTTCTTCTGCAAGAGAAAGGAAGAAACAGCAGTTGGTTTCAGGAACTGGGTATGTCTAGTTTAATGAAAAGAAGGACTAGGGGAGACATGATAGCAGTCTTCCAGTATCTCAGGGGTTGCCACAAAGAAGAGGGAGTCAAGCTATTATCCAAAGCACCTGAGGGCAGGACAAGAAGCAATGGGTGGAAACTAATCAAGGAGAGAAGCAATTTAGAACTAAGAAGAAATTTCCTGACGGTTAGAACAATTAATCAGTGGAACAACTTGCCTGCAGAAGTTGTGAATGCTCCAACACTGGAAGTTTTTAAGAAGATGTTGGATAACCATTTCTCTGAAGTGGTGTAGGGTTTCCTGCCTAAGCAGGGGGTTGGACTAGAAGACCTCCAAGGTCCCTCCCACTTCCTTATTCTATTCTATTCTATTCTATTCTATTCTATTCTATTCTATTCTATTCTATTCTATTCTATTCTATTCTATTCTATTCCCCAGATTTGAGAGGTGCTCCTGAGCTTGCATAGAAAGTTACAGCAAAGGGAGAAGAGAAGCAAGGGCTGTTCCAAGGAACTGCCCTACTTCCTGGTGTGATTTGATTCCAGATAGCTCACCTACGGCATGCCTTCATCACTGTTCCTTTTCTGTTACGTTTTTTCAGAATTTAGGTAGGTGGGTGAAAGATTGGTGTTTTGTTTTTATTTGATTTATTGAGCTTAAAGAAATGGAATCTGAGTGTTTTTTTCTTTCTCCTCCATCTCTTTTTCCTTTCATATCATATATTTTGATTGTTAAATGTGCAGGTAGTGACTTAATTCTTATTTTAGGCTGAGGGATATGGTAACAATGTTAACAATGTCTTTAAAATATATTGTAAGAATCCTTTAAGATGATTTAGGTTAAGGGGCCTGACGTGAAAGGCAGTTTTGAAGC